TTTTTTTACGCTGGGTTGCAGTACTTGCTGCGCACCTCTGCGCGCCTAGTAAATTTGCCGAAAATTTCCAGTCGAAGCGATCGATGCCGGGGGTGGTTCAAAAAGTGCTGCTTGGAATTTTATGTTAATTTTTGCGAATTAATCGCAATATGGGTATTAAATGAAAGGAGATGGAAAATTCTATATTTTGCAAATAGTTTCAAATTGATTCGGGGAAATTTGCAGAAGTTGTATGTAAAAAATAAAATAAAGAAATGAATATTAAAAAAAATAAAAATAATGTTTTTATAAAAAAATCAAATTAATTTCATATACTTGCCTCTGTAGCAAATAAAAAAATGCAATTTTTCTATAAATATTTTTATTGCTAAATATTTTGCAATACTAAACTCTAAGTACACTTTTTCGTGCAAATTATGTTTTTTTTTAATACGGTTTAGATATCTATGTACGTGTATTATAAAGGAGATTCTTATTAAATTTTGCCCCATCTAAAATAACTTATTTTAGGTTAAAAACATTTTTTGAGCTTTTAATGAAAAATATTTATTTTCCAGCTTTCTAAGATATTTCAAGAGTAAACTGTGCCGACAATAAAAAATCTGGAATAGTGATTATATAAATGCATACGTACAAACATACATATGTAGTACATACATACATACATAGACATGTACATATTTGATTTTTAAATTTTTGTGCCTTAAGGATTTACCGCTAGATTTTAAAATTTTATACTCCCAGACCTTTATACATTCTTTTCCACTTTTTCGCTTTAGCTCTTAAAACTATGATTATATCATTTTATGTGTATTCTTTAAAAACTAATTTTTCATAATTAAGCTAAAATATGCTTGAAAAGTTTTCGAATAAATAAATTCGTTTTTTTTTTTTAATGTAAAAATTGCCCTGCATATGCAAGCTTCGTCGAAAGTTGGACATATTATTGCTTAGACTGCAGGGTTGCAATTCACTGCTACAAATCACAGGACATGCGCTCCAACTTCAGCTGGTGTTGTTGTTGTTGGTGCATAGCGGTTGCCATGGGCAAACAAAAATCCATATTGCTGTTGTTGTTCTTATTGCCACTATTGTTGCTATTATTCGCATTGCAAATGCTGCCAAAATCAATGGGTGAGCATTGCCCATCCGAATCGTCAACAATTTTTATGGTTTCATTGCTGTTGTGGTTGTTGTTGCTGTTGGTTAGCATATTATTGGACCGATTCGAAGCGGCAACACTGGCAGCCGCCGCCGCAACATTATTGCTGGCTTGAAAACCAGCAAAAGAACGCACTTGCAGAAAGAGACCGCTGTTGAGAAGACGAGCCTGATGCTCCTGAGCTTTGGCTCGCAGACAGGCGATGGAGTTGTTTCTGTGAAAAAAAGATAGAGAGGAGATTAGCGCTCTTCGAAAAAATTTTGCTACTTTTTATTAAAATGATTAGCAATTTAGGATTATTAAAGCTTTCGGCAAGCTCAAAGTTCACCTAAAAGTATCCGGATCATGTTCAAGCGTCGCATACGGTCCCACAGCACCCGCCGCATGCGCATGATGATGCAGTCCACTTGCAGCGCCCATAGCGGCCCCAGCTGCTGCTGCGCCAACACCACCACCACCACCACCACTACCACCACTGCCTCCAGCACCACTCGCCGCTGCTGCCGCCGCTGCAGCTGCTACGGCCGTATTCATAATCATGTGGAAATCTTTGCTGGTGGCCGCACCAGCGCTGGCATTGGCGGCATCCAAGAGGGGATGATAGCAGGGTTGAGCGGTTGGCGGTGTTAATGCCGCTACTTGCTGTTGATAAAAACTACGCTGATGTTGTTGCAAAGGTGACAATTGCCGGGCATGCGTTGTCGGCGGCGAGGGGCTGCTCAGGTCAATGTGCGGCGACGATGATGAAGCGGTAGTTGCTGTGGGTGTGGTCGCGCTGGAGGAGGTTTGTTGGCGTTCGCGCGTCGGTGCAGGTGAGACGACATTCAACGATTCGGTGGAAGAGGTAAGGCGACGTGATTCATCGTTGGATTTCGAACCGGCGGAGTCTTCGTGATCGCTAACGCCGGAATCATCCCTCAATGTTTGTTGGGCTTCTATCGATTTGCGGTGCATGCCTGGTGGAAAAGTGAGAGGAGAAAGAAGATGAAAGTCGAATTGATGAGAATGTTGGACTGGCTAGTTTGGATGATAAGTAGTTGGGAATAGTACTCGAGGAGCTAAAAGACTTTTTGCGACCAATAATAGCTAGATGGAAGTAGAAAAATTAATTAAAAGTTCGTCATTCTACGATGAAATATGAAGAGATAAAGTTCTTGCTAAGCGTGTACGCTCCGCTATCTGTTAGGTCTTCCACATGCTTTTTATGAGTTACTAAAACCCGATAATTTTCCCTTTCAAAAATTTGGTCAATCCCGATTCAAATCCATGAAGTCACCATTGTAACGGCGGGTTCGGTAGCCAAGCAAGTAAGTGCCACGAAGCCAACTGGTAGTGGGTAAGGAACTTCTTTTTAGAAACCTTACCCCTTCTGTGTTTAATGCCATTTATCAAGCCATTGACTTTCATATATTTCGCGGTGAGTTTTGAAGTGATTAAAGGACTGACCCATGCCGTAAGTGCGCCTTGGCTGCCTTATCAGACATGTAAACTATAGTCTCTTCTTCGCTACGAAGTCCATAAGGTGCAACAGCGACCATCTCGATTGATAAACCAGCCCTGCCAAGAAGCACAACGCAAGGATAGGTTCTCTCTCCCCTTATATGAATCCTGGCAAAAAATAATTTGCTGCTGAGCTCACAGGCCACGGGTTGCCAGGTCTTAGCGGAGGCATTGTGGTTGGACCACATAAATGGCTTTGATATTGTAGAAAGCTGGTCGGAGGCAAGCAGTCGAGACACCAATCCAGCAGACGTTATGGTTAGCCTCAAAAATAACACTGTATTACCACAACTCTATCCCCTTTGTTGAATGGTGTCTCAAAGACTCCAGCGCACATAGGGGCATTTGAACGATTTAGGCGGCCAAAAACCAATTTGACAAAATTTTGGAAAAAACTTAAAAAATTTGTCGTTTTCGATAGAGAACATTCCAAATAACATTTCCCAGTCCCCCTCCCTTTTCTAACTTGCACAGCGAACGCTCACCGTTGACCGGAAGCAGAATATTCTAACGCTGCTTATAAATAAATTTTCGCTCTCTAGAAAGATCGTGACGGTTTTAAGTTAATATTTTGATTTCTGCATTGTATACTTAAAAAGTAGTGATGGATCCGCATACAGAAGGTAACAATGCATTTAAGGGTAAATTTTTTTTATCGTTTTATTAAGCAAAAGTTCAATTCAAATGTAACGAATATAGCGGTTTTCAACGAATATTTTTTTTGGTTAATTTTTGTGAATATTAAGGAATTTGTTGTATGCCCGGGAGAGATCGCGTTATTATTCTTTGTTCAGTTGAACGCTTAGAAATTTTTCTAATGTAGTGTGAAAGGATTGCCCGCAGAAAATGGCAGATATTTGGTATTTCTTAACATAGAAAATGTATTAAGAAAAAATCTAAAAACGCAACTAGTATATAGTAACACTACTTTAGATCTATTTTAACACTAAAATTAAACTTTTTCGTTGAATTTGAGGCTGCTGAACTAGAATATGAATCCATTTAATTTAAAAAATAAATAGTTTTCGAGATATTAACAAAAGTCATGTTTTCTAGGACCTTTCGGTCCTGTTGCTAGAAACCTGCGGGAATATAAGGTGAACCCAACTATGATATATATTTCGGAATAAACATTTGTTTTCCTCTACATTGGTGTTATATAAGTGATGATTAAAGAAATAGTTTTAGGTATACAAGCGCTTAAACCTACATCAATGTCAATTTAAATAAATCTACGATATTTCAGTAAATATTGCATCCGAGTTGTTAAACATTAGTATGTAAAGTAAAATTTTGGAACAAAATAGGATTATTTAATTTTTAGAAAATGGGTGTGGCCCCGCCCACTTATGATGAAATGCTGTATCTCAGTATCCGCTTCACTAATCCGTACCAAAATCGGTATGAGCCTTGCTTAGGCTATATCTAACATAGCTGCTTGAAATCGGGCGATAATAACGCCTACTTCCCATATAACGGTAATTTACAGAAACGCGAAAACTGCGATAAAACAATAACCACTGAAGCTAATTAACTAAAAATTGATTCTTGTAATAACCTCTTAGCATTAAATAAAATTATTATAATTTTTTTGATAATGGGCATGACGCCGCGCACTTTTGACCACAAATGTGTATCTCGGTAACCCATTTATCAATTTGTACCAAACCCGGTGGATTTTTAACCTTGATATGGAAAAGCAATGCGTTGAAAATACGAAAACTCCGATATTTCAGTAATTGAGGACGCTAATTTTCTCCAAGTTAATACTTACAAAATTCTCCTAACAATAAATAAGACTACTAGACTATTACAAAAAATGTAATTTTATTACATTGGGTGCGTTCGAGCTACGTAATAATTACCGCAATATTGCAGACTTGTTGCTTTCCTGATGACATGTTGCTGATGCTCACCTGAAACTTTTCTAAAATGTTGCAGAAATAGCGCAGTAAAAATGTTTATGTTGCTTCTGATTTGCCAATAATGAGTAACTGATTGTCAAAATTTTGTTCGCCCAAATTTTCGTGTAGAACGTGATAGTCTTTCATAAAAGAGTATCACTGCCGCATTAATTGCACCTCGATACACCCATTTCTTACCTATACTGTGATACATATTTGAATTATTTAATTCCTTTAATTAAAGTTGAATTTGATTTTTTAAACCCTCGGAGGTTCCATAGAGATAAAGCCTTTTCAAACCCATTTCCATTGATACCCAGATTGCAGCAATTCATTTAACTAATTGAACAACATTTTTTAACAGGTGGCAACTCTGTTAATGTTTTAACCAATATTTACTTGATTTTAAACAGTTACAATTCTAAATGTCAAAACACGTCTTTTATAAACATTTATTCATAAAAATAATTTTGGCCGCTTAAATCGTCTAAATACCCCTATGTGCAGCGGACGAAGTTAGTTATTTATTTGGGAATCATATTGAACAGGAAGTCTACTTGGAGACGATATACGCGCGCAAGAATTCAGTTGGTAAAGAAGTAGTGACATGGATATACAGTGGATCGGCCTATTATGTTCTACGGTACCACAGGAGAAGGACAACCTTAGAGAAAATGTATACTTGAGGAACACGGTGGCTCTCTATGCAGCCAAGATAATGTTGCGTAACAGATGAGGTTTAAACCAAAAATTGTGTACTGGATGTACACAGTTATAGTCCGACTCATAATCTCTTACGGGGCGCTGGTCTGGTGGCCAGCCCTTACTAAGTGTTACGTAGTTAAAAAGCTAAGCGGAATTCCAAGATCGACAGCCGCTAGCGTAACAGGTGCAATGAGATCCTGTCCGAAAGATATTTTGAACGTCCTTCTTGACTTATTATCCATATACATAATCTTTATCGAAAACTCAGCTGCTAACAGCGCCGTCAGACTGCCTGCCCTGGGGTTCTTTAATCATAGACTGTTCGGCCACGGTTTCATCCTAGACGCATCACCGTATGACCTGGGTTCACCGCAAACCCCGTACGAAATTCCCAAGCCGCAGTGAATGGAATCAAGGAAAGGTCGAGTTCTTGCAGGGCTTAACTGTCTTTACGGATGGGTCAGAGATGGACTGCGCAGTTGGTGCAGGGGTTTTCGTTGAACAATATAACCTAAAGTTATCCTTCCGGCTACCAGACTATGCAAGCATTTTCTAGAACGAAACGTTTGCTATTAAGGGGAGGCAGGCACTCTCTTCTACCTCTGTTAGATCTCAACTAGTGGTTAAATGTAGGAGAAAGCTGACCTAAATGTCTGATCAATACGAAATTATCCTAATATGGGTCCCAGGACATAGGAATATTTAAGGAAACGAGTTAGTGGACGAACTAGCAAAGAGCGGCTCCACACTGAATGTGTCCCACGCGGAGAACGTGGGCGCCTCGCTCAGGGAGATTAAGACTAAAATTACCGAAACTTAGTCACTCAACGGCCAAGCAGAGGCGGAACTGTATAGGATCTTACATGATTACCCGACAGTTCTGGGTATCCTACGACCCACTTAAAAGCAAAGCTCTCTTGGGAATGAGCAAGGAAGATGCGTACAAATTTACTGCAGTGTGTACACCCTCGCAAGGATGAGGTTAAAGACACTCGGCAAACCATTCCTGCAGAATATTTCAGAGTGCAGCTGCCTTTCTTCGTATGACGCCGCCAAATGACTGTAGGTTGCACGAGTTGTGGAATCAAAATGGCAAACTTGCTAATTGCTTGCAACCACTTAAACCAACCAACCAACCAAACAGGGCCTACTGACCTTTATAGTGAGCTACAAGCGAATAGCAATGCAGTCAGTGCTAAGTACTAAGGGCCTTTTTCTCAAGTAGGTTTTCAAATTTATCTGCCCTTTAAACGCAAATTTTATTCTGAAAAAAAATGTGTTTGAGGTAGGGCTGTGCGATTAATTGATTATTCAAAATTTTAATTAATCATAAAAGAAATAACTCAATTATTCGATTAATTGAAAATTATGATTACTCAAAAGTTCAGTTACTCGAGTAATCAAGATTTTGATTAACCAAATATAAAAATACTTGAGTAATTTGCTTTATGATTAATCAACATTTTGAGTAAAATGAGTAATCAACATTTCAAAGTACTCTTTACATATAAACCAGTTGAAATTCCTTGATACTTTGAAAACAACGTTTCTGTTTTCAAAAATTAAAATTAAATATTTTTTCATATACAGAATGTAAAAAAGAAAATAAGCATTTTCCAAAGCAAACTCTTTTAACGAACAAAATTATTATTTTTTTTTTTAGTAATCATATTTCAAGTAACTCGATTAATCATCGTTTTGATTAATCAAAATCTTGATTACTCGAGTAATTGATTAACCGAATAACTGATTAATCAACTTGCTCGAGTAATCGAATAATGGCACAGTTTGAAGGGAAGATATATTTTAAAACCTACTTGGAAAGATGTGGTTAAGTGCTCTTAACAAATGGAAGGATGCGAAATTTTTCTTTCCAAAATTCCAAAAAATGTCATACTGACGTTCACTATTGAAAACGACTTCACCACAAGGATTCCAACGAAAAGAGAATGGGAAGAAGATTCGATCCTGAAAAGAATATCGCACACTACCATATTTA